TCCCAAACTTTCTGAGCCAGAATCACCCCAATTCAAAATGGGCTGTTCTGTGAGAAGCCCAGTGACTCCTCTTCCTCGGGATGATTAAAAACTGGTGTCAGAGGACAAGGTAGCAAAGCTGGGGCACACACACACACACACACACACACACACACACACACCACACACACACACAGAGCTGTGGGGATGAGCTCCAGGACAGGCTTTAGCTTTCAATGAGAAAGGCCCTGGATGATGTTCTGTCAGCAAGTTGGAAGTGATTCCAGTAATAGGGAGAAGGCTCTCTGGAAATTCTGTGTCTTGTTCTATTCTATAGACTATTACCTGTGTAGCTATGACTGTGTACATAGGAGAGAGAGAAGAATCCCTTGGAAAAGAAATACACACACATGCATGAGCACGCACATGCAGACACACACACAGACCTTAGTCCTAATGCTACTTTAGGAACTAGAAGGCAAACTTGTGTTGCACAAAACCTCTATGGACAGCAATAGGCGGGTGCTACTTAAATGATTAAGGAGGCTTGTCTAGAGCAGAGGGGGTAGGATCTAGAGTTCTCTTGGAAAAAAAAAAAGAAAGAAAAGACCCAGGCCATTTTTGTTTACACCTTTGGGACGGTTCGCCATCCGGCCAGTAGCATCCTCTTGGCCTAAGATAAGAGTTTGGCTGTCAGTCTGAGAGCAGAGATACTTACAAACTTGAGGAGGAAAGTGTTTTCTCGCAGTGCTCCAATGCACCCTGCAAATCCCAAAATGAACATCACTCCTCCCACCACAAGGAAGAGCCACACTGGGTCAAAGCCGCCAAGGTCGGTGATGGAAGAGATGTTGGACAGAACTCCCTGGAAGTAGAAAACAAAAAAAACAAAAAAATACATAGACACCATGGTGTGAAGGCAGCTCACCAACATATAAGGATTATTGCACTTGTCTTTGGGTATCATTTGTGTGTGTGTGTGTGCACACACACGTGCATGTGTGCGTGCATACATGCATCCGCCAGTACTGGGGCTAACACTCAGGGCCTGGGAGATGACCTTCAGCGTTCTAGTTCAAAGTTGAGGCTCTACCACTTGAGCCACATCTCCACTCCTGGCCTTTTGGTGGTTAATTGGAACTAAGCTTCTCACTGACATTCCTGTCCAGGCTGACCTCAAATCTTAGTCAGCTAGGAAGCTAGGATTACAAGGTATAAGCCACAAACACCAGGCAAGAGATGTCATCTTTAAATCCTCTAAACAACATACGTTAGACCACTGCCCACCTGAAAGCCTTAGGCATTTCTCAGGAAATAAGGGAAGAGACAGAGATTAAAAACAAACACAGTGGCCAGTGATGGCCAGATCACTTTCAGGTTTTTCCAAAGAAAACCTATACACCAGAATCCACCCTAAATGTCTAAACGTCATGGGAGACCAGTCAGGCTCAGATCCCAGAAATCTACTTCCGTGTTTTGTGCTGATAAGTACTGTACTTACTTGTTAGGGGCATTTCCATTTGGAAAAAATAAAAGGATATTAATATTTTTTAAGAGTTATGACTTAGAAAAAAATCAAAGAAACCCAGAGGAAGTTTATTTCTCCATGAACAATGTCATTCCTTCCTGAAATCCTTATGTCAAGTATTACCCAGAATCTGTTAGAAATCATGGTTTGTTGCTTCCAAAATATCACTTACTTGTTCATTCATGTGAAGACAAGTCATTTTCAAAATGAGTCTTAAATACCCAATATTCGCTTTTCTTATTAAATTTGTTTTAAACTCTCAAATCAAAATATCTCCAGAGTACCACAGTATCATTTGCAGTAAAGGCTTAATTTTAAATATTTGTTTTCAAAGCATTCCCAACAACCCTTCTAGAAGAACGGGGTCAGCAGTCCTCTGATCCATACTTGAAAATAGCATTGAGCCATTTGGGGTTGGGATGAAGGTCACATAATTATTTTGGAAGCAGAACATGTCCTCTGCGGTCCACTGCCCACCAAGTGAGCCATGGACTCGCTTCCCAGTTGGTGCCAATCAAACCTGACTTTAGGAGTTTTGAGTTTTGATCCATTTTAAGGTGGCAGAAACATTTGGAGAAGAATATTTTGTTTGTTAGAATTTTCTGTTTGTTTCTATTAGGAGGAGGCTCATTAAGAAGGACAACATTATGTTAATAATTGGCTGCATATGAGCAATAGTTAGAATTGTTAGAAGGTTCCTAAACTAGAAAGCTTAAACCTTGCAGAA